CACAACAGAACTAGATCAAGGTAAATGTAATTTCCAATGTTAAAAACAAACAAACAAAACAAAAACTAAAAAAACTAAAGCTAAAAGTAAATATGTAGGCACACAGTTATGTAAAAATTCTACAAACAAATTGTACACACATTTTAAATAAACATATTATAACATACAATATGACAGATGGATACATATTTCTATTTAAAACTGCTATAGAACCAACTATGTTATCTGAATAAGTAAAAAAAGTGATAATGAAAAAAAAAAAAATTTTTTTCCCATGTTCAAGATTTAGTGTTTGAGGTCTGAAATAGAGTTTACTGTGCATTTCAAATGTCATGCTTTTTTCAAGAAGAAAAAAAAAATAATAATAAACAAATTAACAGAGTGCTCTTAAAGGGATAGTTCACCCAATAATGAAAATTCTGTCATCATTTCCTTCCCCCATATCGTTCCAAACCTGTATGACCTTCTCCTTCTTTTATTTATGCATTTATTTATTTTTAATTTTATTTATTTATTTTCTAAACATGAAAGAAGGCATTTTGAAGAACAATTGTGGACAAAAAAAAAGTTGTTTTGAAGAAGAAAGTAAGTCATACAGTTTAAAAATGACACAAGGTTGAGTAAATGATGACAGTATTTCCATTATGAATTTTTTATGAAGCCACTCAATGGAAGACCTAGTATGGAGCCAGAAATCAACATCTAAGTTGAACTTGAGGCATCTGGAAATGTATATACAGTATATATATATATAAAATTTCCAGAGGCCTCAAGTTCAACTTAGATGTTGATTTCTGGCTCCATACTAGGTCTTCCATTGAGTGGCTTCATAAAAAATTCATAACATATATATATATTATATTGACACCACATTTTTAAAAATGTATTAATTGGTGCACGATGATATTGGAGATTTGATAAATCCTTAAAGGGATAGTGGAAACAGTAAAACAAAAACAATCAATGTGTTTCATAGATTTTAGACATTTGCAGTTTGGAATGTCTCTTGAAAAATAGTTTGATGATAAGTATAACAGTGGATGTAAAACACTAGGACTGCACCTGAACTGATGCAATTGACACAGTTTGAGCTGTGTGTAAAGGTCCTTTCTTGTTAAGATAAGGCCTAAAGTTACTCCCAAGTACAGCCAGCTTCACTCAGGGACCTCTGACTGCTTTCTCTGAATAGAGAGGCAAGACATCATACATCACTTCCCAGGGAAAGCTCACCTGGAAGGTCCTGACACTAAACCCCCTGGGTGTTCTATGTGATGTGCTTGCTAAGCCCATCTCCAGAGAAGCCCGCGGGGCATTTCAAGACCATCATCTCAAATGTATGTGTTCACTGTAAACAGCCTGTCCAAAGTAATCTCATGCTTTGGAATGCACAGGAATGTATGGACTTGGATGTGAAGTGTACAGTCAGTTCGAACAGAAAAATGCTTTTGTTGTTTCTCCTCCACCCCTGTGGATTGTGGCGCTCAATTTAAAGGAACAGTTCATCTGAAAATGAAAATTCTGTCATTATTTATGAATGTATTTATTTCTCCCGTGAAACAAAAGTAATTCTTATATAACTTATATTAAGTATATTAACATATATAATATATATATATAACTTATATTAAGTATATAACAACTTCAATTTTTGTCTATTCAGCTTCAGAAAACCGATATGAGCCACTTTACTGGTGCTTTTTGAAGGCTGACAGCCCAGTTGTCAATCACTTTCATTTAATTGAAATCATGGCCAGGATATTCTTCAGAAATTCACCTTTTGTGTTACCCAGAAAAAAAAAAGAAGCAATCCATACAGGTTTGGAATGACATGAGGGTGAATAATGATGACAGAATTTTCATTTTTGGGTGAAATACTCCTTTAAAGGCCAGTACAAATCTTTGACATCTCATGGCAGGCACGGTCTACAGCAGATGTACTTAAGAGACTAATTCACTGTTAAGACCCTCTGAGGTCTTAGTTTGTTAGGAGGTAAGGGTGGAGGTTAGCAGGACATGGCCTATACTGGCATTCGCTGCGCTCTCTCATCTGACTCATTTATCTGACAGCCGTAGCTGTGGCACTCAATGCTGCAGTGTTTTCTTGGCTGAATTACAGCAGATGTCACCCCGGCAGTTACATGTCAAACGGTCGAGACACCTTCAATTTTCATAGCCAGCCATGCTGAAACCTGACCCTGACATTGCAATGCATGTCCTCTGACCAAGTCGGTGTTCCAACTTTGACTAGGCCTAACAAGCGACGGGACTCTTCAGAGAAAAAGTAGACTGATACTGCAAGCATGCAGAAAATGTTGCAGTCTGTTCGAAGTCTGTCTAAATAGCTAATGAGATGACACCATATTCTGGTAGTTGTTTACAAGGTTTATTAGTTTACAAGGTCTGCAAAGTTTCAGTAAAGGTTTATGGCTTTGATTCTTCCTTCAGCAGCAGAAACACAACTTTAAAAATGGTGATAGGTCGAAAAATTGTCTGATATTTGACATTGACATCATTGTGAATATAGAAACGACATCAGTTTTCAAAAATGTTGCATTTTGAGCAACTATTGCAGAATATCTGTTTTTACATTTGTAAACCGTGGGTTTATGTTCTTATTTGCTTATTTACGAGGTCAATAACATTGACTGGACAAATACAGATTTAAACAGGATTGTCCATCTGTGAAATGTCACGTAAATCGGCTCTGGCTGTTCTAAGTCTCCAAAAACTACTACTTGAACAAACAATATAATCTTTTCTTCGCTCCAGTTAACGCGTTTTCCAATTAATTTATCTCAGACGCAGAAACTAAACAGTGAATGAACGTTTATTTGACAGTACAGAGCTCATGAATATTTAATCAGCTAGGCAATGCCAATGACACGAAACAACTTGCTTCTACCACCGTATGGTTCTACCCCTAAAAACACAATTTCAAACTGAAATGTACATCAGGTTTAAAAAGAATGTTAAAGGGGTCATATGATGCTATTTAAAGATCATTATTTTGTGTATTTGGTGTAACTGAATATGTTGACATGCTTTAATGTTCAAAAAACACATTATTTTTCAAATACTGTACATTATTGTAGGTCCTCTATGCCCCGCCTCTCTCAAACATGTCGTTTTCAACAAAGTCCCCTCCTTTGACAAGCGCAGTCTGCCCTGGTTGGCCAGCTGACCCAGTGCATTGTGATTGGCCGAACACCACAAGCACTCGTCGGAAATGTAACGCCCCTTACCATAATCACGAGCTTATCGTGACGTAGGTATGTGGGGGCGTGTTAGAACGAGCTGTTTTAGGTAGGCGTGGTTGGTTGACTCTTAACTTTTATAAAGAATATCTCTTTGGATTTGAGACTTTAGTCTTTGCAACTTTACAGATCTTCTTTATGCACCAAGAGCTTGTAACACTCCAAAGAGAAAGGAAAACTTGAAATCGCATCATATGACCCCTTTAAGTACAGTGAGAACCCCCCCTACAGAGAACACCCTGAGGTAAGACAAACGATTGACAGCACCATTAACTGAACCAAGGTGATGTGAGTAAAACGCATCCTGAGAAGCAAAGCCTCATGACTGAAGGTCTTAGCGCACGTCGCTCGTCGGTCCGATGTCAAATATACTGGCTGAGGCGCAAGTGAAGTTGCATAGCAGACATTCCGATGAAAAACCAACAAGCCTCGGCGGAAAGAGCGAGGCTGGCACTACGTCCAAAAACAGCACGGAATCCGTTAGCCATACCCCAAAGAAACGGAAAACCGACATGCTGCAAACACATTAACGAGTTTGCCTCTCTTTCACGCCAAACGACCGTCATGTATGAAGAAATGTGTTATTGTGTACTAGACAGGACCATCACTTTCCTCTCCATAATGGCTTTACAATCACATTACGATATCTAATGAGAGTTGATAATGGTTAATTTCTACTCAAATTAGGTGTAATCGTGACTCTAATGTTCAGGATTTTTTCTTCTCTCAAAGCTAAGCTACCGTACTGTTAACCAGGTTAACATCTTAATGAACAACTCATTGAATCGCTGATTTAGTATTCTTTACACTATTTTATTTTCCTTTCCATATGGACAGATACTGTGGCAAGCCGCTTTAACATTTTTTCCCCCCAAAGCTAACAAGTATCTATTTTATGTTACAAGAAGCCCTACCTATTAAGTAAATACTCCAATAGTGACAAGTAAACATTTTTAGTTTCACTAGTATATAATATCTACTATAATAGCAATAGAGGCAAGTAACAATTTCATTGCTACTGGTAATTGTTTTCTATTGAGTTCTATAGGGATCTGTAGTTAGATATTATTCATATCCATCTAGTGTCCACTGTTGCTGGTTATCAACTTTTTATTACATTTTATTAGTAACTATTAATTAGGTGACAGAACGTTTATTCTAACTGGTTACAATTGGAATACACAGTTGGAATTACATTGTAATCTTACTAGTAAGAATTGTAACTAGTGGGATAAATGTTACTGGTGAGTAATTGGGATATATTCTGGTGTCACACAAATAGGTACTAGCATCTAATAAATAATAACTGGTAAAGCTTGAATGTCTGCTAGGTAACTATAATAGATTATTCTACTACTACTAGTGAATAGAAGAGGTTCATATCTGAACCAAAAATTTCCAGAATTCAGAGATAAATATTTGTTATTTGCCACTATTGCAATATGACTAGCACTAATATGAAATAGCCTAATTTCTAGGTCTTGAATTTAGTTGACTAGATAATGTTTGAATACATATTCTCACATCTAATTAAAATAAGTAAAATAACTAAATGATTAGTTAGCTTTATGAAATAAAGTGTTAAAATGGCCTGCCAGAACATATCAGCTTTGGTTTCCCCAATAAATAAAGACGGAGGCAGAAATTATGTGATTTATTTAATTCCTTTCTCCATCATTAGGCGCGATTAAAGCAATGAACACAGATGACAACTTTTCAAAGAGTAAATGAAATGTGTATACAGACCTTCACAAACTCCAACCTCGTACTGCGTGATGGAGCCGCCGTTTAACGGGGGTCTGATCACGCACCGGAGTCCGCGGTCGCAGGTCCCGTACAGACCGTAAACGCCGCCGCAGCTCTCGTTCTTCTGCTTGGCACAAACCGAGCAGCAGCCGCAGATCCCCAACACCACGGAGCCCATACAGTGCTTGGGCTCCTCGCATTTGGACTTATCACAGGGCAAACAAATGAGCGCCCGACTGTTCTTCGCGATCAACACCACAAGTTGGAAAATCAGCATGCATTTCATAAGAAGATACATCCTGGAGGAGGCCATGAAGGAAAAGTGAAAATATAGATATCCAAACCACCCCCCTGTCCCCCAAACTACAGGATGAGGAACAGATCCTCCAGCCAAACCAACAAATAACAGAAGAAAACAGCGACTCGAGCGCGAGAAATGTTCCGCTCAGAAAGACGCGTTTTCTTGTCAAACAGAATAATATGGCGTTCCTGGCGTCAAACTTTTGTTGCAGAAAGCCAACAAAAAGGCATCCCTTTCAAACGAACGACACCAGAAGAACTATCCCACGCTGTACAACCAGTGCATGGCTTATGCGTCACGATTTCTGCACTGTTCCGTCCAGTTTGTTGAAAACTTTCCTCACGCGTCTCTTCCTTGGAGTCTTTCGTATTGAAGCCTGTCCTGCGCCTATAAAGCCAACGCACGATTTTTTTCAGTAGTTCCCAGTCGGAGTAAACGTGGTCCTGTTATTTTTTTGTTGCCAGCAGAGATTCATTCAGCTGTGTGAATAAATGTTTCCAGCTATCGCGTCCATCTCATGTCTACCGCTTGCGCTCGCTGCTGAGCGTTCGGCTCCCTCACCGTGACCTCATAACGGAACCACTCCCATCTTGCATTACTTTGCTCCATTGGAGTGTTAGTTCGTGAGACACAGGAAATGCTGGTAACACGACACGCTCAAACGCAGGAGTCTGTGGTGAAGGTGCACCACGTGTGGAATGTGGGGCCCGTATAACTTTTAAAGAATCTCGAGTTTGTGTGGCTGCGCACCTTTAGTACGATTTTGTAAAACTGATTGTTATGTCTTGCTTTGCCCATACATTGTTTCCCAAAAACAATGTTTGATTTACATAGTATTTATATTTACACACGATATCAGTGAGACAGCCATGTTAAAACAAATCTTCACATAAACATAAATATGATGTTTTGTCATAAAATATGATCAGAGATCATAATCTGGAGCCAAGGTTTAAAATAATTCTTAATGGTCTTATATTGTGAGTTTTGGACAAACCCAGTGCTATTTTGCCCATTGCAATTTTTGCTACCACAAAAAAAAAAAAGTGCAAAAATGTACCTTCAGGGGTACAACAGCCTGTCCCTGGGGCAGTACCCTCAAATGGATGTTTTTGTACCCTCTTTACCCCTACAGGGTTCAAAATAGTATCATAAGAGTATATATTACTACCTTAAGGGTATAGCCTATTACTACTCTAAGGTACTAATATACAACCTTTAGGGATAAAGAAGGTACAAAGGTGTCCCTTTGAGAGTACTGTCCTATAGACAAGCTGTTGTACCTGTAATGGTACAATTTTTGCACATTTTTGTTTTTCGCCTGGCAGTGTACATGTGTAGTGGCCAGTGAACTCACTCATTGACTCATTGAACACTGGGCAGCTGAATGTACTCTAAGTGTCCAAAAACCTGCACATTTATACCAGAAACAAGCATCAACAATATTATGTAATTAGTTGTTTTTATACATATGGTTAAGTAAACATTTAAAGTCAACATGAACACAAAACATCCTTATATACTTTCATTAATATTACACGTTCCTGGTCATATTGTGAACGATCCATGAGTGTATATTATTCCTAAATTAAAAAAAAAAGAAAGAAGTTTTTCATCATAATCTTTCAGCAAAATATAATAGCTTGCTCTTTCTCAGTAAACACTTTTTTTCTTTTGTAAATGTTTAAATGTTAAAACGTTAATGTTTATTTTAAAATATAAAACTGAATCTTAATGCTTAAAAAAAGCATTAAACACACCAATCTTACACTACTTTTTTAAGGCAATAAAGTAAAATACTTTAGATTTATTTTTGATCAACTCTGTATTCTTCTACATTTTTTAATTCAGCCTCAAACAGAAATTACAGTCATCTTTTATATTATGATGTATGTCCAAGTGAAACAGCTTCTTGAACAAGAAAAAATGTAGGGTGGGACTTTTTGGGAATTTTGTCCACCGGGAACTTATTGAATCATTTGCTGATCTCATGTGAGTGACAGGTTGCTGGAGGGGATGGATTATCGGCCGGTGTACACAACATCAGAGAAGACGTGTCTTTGTGAGGGGGAGGAGGGGACATTAATGTTTTTGATTAAAGATTATGAGGGCTAATCCAAAAAAAAAAAAAGAATTGTACATTTTGATTTGGTGATGACTTTAAATCACAATTGCACAACTGAGCAGTTATCTGCAGTATGCTTTATCGTACATTTGACACCCCATACTGAAGCTTTTCGTTGCAGAGTTATATCAGTGCTATCAGATGTCATAATCCTGTAGATGATGAGTGATATATGTGGTAAAAGCCAAGAACAGGGCCTCTCTTCTTGCCTTGAGAAACCATTTGTACAGCAATCTCTGAAGAAATCAGATATCTTTGGATTATATTGGCTGTTCTTTCATCTCCTCTCTTTTTACTGCAATGGTGTCCTGGCTTTGGGCGGTAGCCAATTAGCAATAGTCTTTATACAAGTTAGCTATGTATATCACTGCCAAGCCCAAGATCAGAGGCTGGAGCTGACGTCTCGAAATAGTTTTAGGCTGTTTGGTTGCTGCTAAATGGATATGATTGCAGACACATTGCCTCTGTTAATTCTATCTTCTATGCAGGACATGCTGATCTCCAGAGGGGCTTGAAAGTAAGACATGAAGCCGTTTTGATGTGGAAATTATGTTTTTATCGATCGATAAACCACAGTCTTGGCTACCTTCAAATTCTATTTATTTTCTTTCCTTCCTCTTTTCACATCAAATTTGACCTTGTCGGTGAGATTTAAGATCCTTACTGGTGTTATATATTTCAGAGAGTATTTGAATGCAGCAATACCCAATAGGAGTATTTTTTTTAAAAAAGGGTGGTGGGGTGGTATGAACTGTATTAAAGGGGGCATAACACACACAGTTTCATCCAATCTCATGTTAATCTTGAGTACCTATAGAGTAGTACTGCATCCTTCATACCTCCAAAAAGTCTTTAGTTTTATCATATTTATAAAAGAAAGATACAGCTTTACGGCAAGTCCCGTGCAGCGCTGCCGCCGGATGAAGCGCATTGATGGGCGCGATCTTACTCTTGCTCTGGTCCATGCGTGCGCGGGCGCGTTCTTCCGGGAGAAATATAATGAGTTATATTTATATATATATAAGGAGTTCCACTCTCGTTTACATCATTAAGAGCCACGATCGAAAAAAACTCTCAGAAACTTGTACGAACCCGGAAGTAAGATTTTTGGCACAGAAATACTCTGTCATACGTCCAAATTGTTTTTTGAAACTTTGTCCATGCTTAGCATGAGAATCCAACTCTTTAACAGTGTAAACAACTCTGAATTCATGAAACAGCATTGTACCCCCCCTTTAAACATACAGTTTGTGCACATGTGGCCTAGGCTTTGACGTTATTTCCCAAAAGGCAGTAAAACATACTATTACTTTTAAGAAGTGTTTTGTTTGTACAGGGTTTCTCAGGGCATGATTTTCTTTAGGAAACGACACTGACATTGTGAGGAGGAGTTAACTGGCACAATGCTCCAGGTTGTTTGTGTCTAATTGTTTAATGATGTTAGGTGCTGGCTAATTGAACACCCACTGTTCCATTACCACTGTTTGTTGTGAAAGTTCCTGGGAAAGCAGCCACCAGTCTTCCTGCACCCCATTGAATTAGCCCCGATGAACTAGGTCTTATCAGCTATCTCCTTTCAGTCAGAATATGACCCTCAGAAGTCCTCTCTCGTAACCGACAACATTATGTATGCCAAGGACGGTGAGGAATGCTTCCCATCGAAAGGTCCCTCGTGCGCTCAGCATAATCTTGGTCATCAGCCCCCACGTATCGTGTTCAAATGAGGGTAGAATCTCTCAAACGTCTTGGGGAAACAGCTCATATTTAGTCAAACCACCCCCATTTAGCAAGCTTTTAACAGCTGTAGCCATCAACAGCTCAAATATGTAGGTGGCAATCCCGTTGAGGAACAAGATTAGATTTTACATTAAAACCAAGAAAACTGTCTTTCATAACTCAAGACTCAACTCACTTTCCTGCAAAGTACTGACATGTTTACCTGTCTAGGCTGTCACGTCAAAATCGAACTCTGAATGACCAGTGAGCGTCTACCCGTGGCGATACAGACGTCCGTCAATGTCTAACACCATTAACGCCACCTTCCTCAAAATATCACCAACGCAGTGGCTCAGCACTCACCAGCCCTCTTTCAATAATCATTAAGTCTTTTCTCTTTCGCCTCTCAGCCTCATTGTGGTTTCCAGGTACTGAATGACGGTTGGCTATTGTACGCCAGACAATGTCCTAGACAGTGCATTTTCTTTGTAGCTCGGAGCACAGTCTGTGGCTGTATTGTGTTATATGTAAATTATAATCTCTGTGGCATCTCCTTTGTTGGAGCTGCTGTATTTAACGCAGATGATTTGATATTGTCTCCCAGCGGCGGCACATGTGAGCCTGTATCAAATTCATGGAGGTCAGTGGGGGAAGAGAGATGGAGTGTTGGATAAAGCAGTGAAGCGTCTGATGTTTTATGGAGATTTGCAGCCGTGTGTGTGTAATCAGTGGCTGATCCTACTATTACCATCAGGTCCGTTTCCAAATGTTTAACCGCCTCGATCTTTCTCGCACAGCCTTCCGTATCATTTGTGCAAACGTGTGTTCGAGGCGCACAAACAATGTTTAGGTTGATTAGACAAGTACTACATTAATAGTTGTTATTCTCGTTGTCCCTCACATGGCCTTTCTGCACAGCAAGTGTTTACTTTGGCATTTACTTCTTTGCTTTTTCTCCTCATGCACCATTACAATGGCTTAGATTAATGGCATATCTTAAACTAAATAACAAAAGCCAAATGCAATCTGCTCAGGATAGGGCAAAATAAGGGACAGAGAAAAAAAAAAACTCACAAGAAAGCAAATAATTAATGTTGCACAAGGAGTGACAGCTCCAAATCATGAAGCAGTTTTATTCCCTGGCCGCTGAGGCACGCAGAAGCTGTAAACGTTGGGCCAGGGAGCAGCATGAGGGTGCAGAGGAGCGTTGATGACAGCCAGCAGACTCATTGTGACTGGAGCATTGGCTCTGCAGCCGCTGGGCTAACTGCTCCATTAATCATCCACACAGGCCTGCACATCACCCCCCGAAATGCACAGCAGCAAAAAGTCAAGCATTTATCCCAAAATGGAAGGAGTACTGGAACCTGCTTACTATGGCTTTGCTATAGTTCCTCAATTAAATATTTCCACTTCAGTGGCTCAAAATGTAATTCCAATTATTCAGTGTGAACTGTAGATGATAATGTAGACAGTAGACTGTAGATCTATCTATCTATCTATCTATCTATCTATCTATAATATGTCTGTCTGTCTAACACACAATTGCATTATATGGACACACAGAAATCAATTACGATTGGACCATGACGAGACTCTCAAAGTTGATGCTTTAAAAACCACGCAAAACAACCCTGACAGTCCATAAATTGCTAGTTGAGGAATCAGTGTCTTCTGAAGCGACACGATAGGTGTGTGTGTGTG